TTGAGAATTCAGTTGAATTTGGATATTTTGTTCTATCATATAAATTACCTTTTACACTATCCTCCTTTCTGAGGAAAGGTGGGAGGGGTGAAATTTAAAGGGGCTTTAAAAAAGATGCTTATTGACCATTCTATGCCACCCCTGGGCTACGCCACCTACTCTCTGCTATCCAAACCCTGTAAAGCTCTATTCTAACTCGCGTTCGAGCATGGGGGCTCGCGTAATTGCCAGCGAGAAGAGAAGTTATACATGTATCTCTTGTAGCTTGGGGGAGCGAGCCCATTAGAGCAGGGGAGATTATGCCAGAGATCTTCCTTGATCCCTCCAGCATCTAAAATAAAGGGGGTCATCAGTGAGAGGGGGATTAATGACAACTGACAAGAAGGCATCCCACAAAAAAGGGTCACTTTATACTAGGCCTGTTTTCATCAGCTCGAGTTTGCCAAATAACCCGCTATTTTAACTATCCAATCGCAAAATAGCCAGTCAATTTGCGTCCTCATCAGCCTGCAGTTGCAATTAGAGGGATATTTGGTCGAGAAAATATCTCGAGAAATCTTGGTTATCATTGTTTCCTAGATATCCCTCTATTGGGAAAAAGTGGGCTTATTTGCGCCCGTACGAGCTAGTTTGTGATGAACGTAGTTGTCTGGTGAAGACGCAATTTTGAGCTTCCGGATAATATCCCGAGTCTGAAAATGGCAGCCCTATATTGTATCTCTTCTTCCTTCTTGATGAGAAGAAGATGAAAATAGATACGGTGAACTATGATTGATAGGAAGATAAGGAATGGATAGTGAAAAGGTAATAAATATCTGTGAAATGATCCGCAAAATGTATTTTTTGTCAAAAGTGAGATGGTATGAACTACTGTAGTATTTTTATATACGCCCACTTTAATTGTAATATTTTATTGTTCTCCAATTGAAACTTTCAATTTCGGATCATTTAGAGGCTTTTAAGGTTATGTTAAATATTTTTTTTAAAGAAACTACACTTTATAATATTGTTACATCTAATAATAATAATAATAATAGGCATTTATATAGCGCCGTCTATATAGACAATTCTCTTCTTAGGAGCACATATTGATTATTACCCCGGCTTTATAGCCTAGCTGACATTACAGCGCTCTAGCATTCAAGGAATTAATTCCTGCCAGGTACCCATTTACCTCACCTGGGTCGAGTGTGGCAAATATAGATTGATGCCTTGCCAAAGGACATTGGTGTCGTGTCGAGGATCCGACCACGACCTTCAAATTTTAAATCAAGTACTTAAATCACTTGACTACGACACCTCTACTAAAGTGTGTCAAATACAAAATACCTGAAGATGATGAAGAACATTGGTGGGTTTTAATTTATGTTTCTTCTTCTTTTGAGTTTTATAGTCACAAAGTTTCTAGATTTTTATGGTATATCTACAATTGTGACATCCTCATCGTTGAATTGAGTTTAAATGATATTTCAGTCAAAGCTGTTTTTAGCTGCTTGTGTTAGGCAAACTAGGAGGTTATCAAACGTATATATATGCAGATACATAGCATTCTGTGGTGTAATAACTAATGAAAACATTATTTATCAATGTATCAATTACATATGAAATACAATTCAATCAAATATAGGAACATTTTACTTCAAACAGTAGCAGTTATCAAAATGAATAAAGTGCACATTAGCTTCTGTGCAGTTATAAGTTTGAAAATGAGTTGTTGTTTTTTAATACTAATAATTTACACAAATATTCTATCTGTCATACATGTACTTATTGATTGAAAAGTAAAGATAAGGATTGATTTCTTCTTTGAATATTGAGAATACACCAACCTAAAAAGAGCTGTCCTAAAAGAAAAGAAAAATGAATAAAAAATAAAGCACCAAAAGGAAAGGAGTAAACTTCACTTTGCTCCCTTTTCTTAATGTCAGAAGATTGAAATAAGTGAACAGAAATTATATCATTTTGATGTCTAAATGCCTCGACTGCGTCATATTTGTTCAACTGTGCCCCAGAATTACATATGTCGGGGAGTGTATTGACATAATTTCATCCACTTTTCTTTATATACTTCTTGATTACTGGTGCATTGCCATGGGCTATACATCATCGCAAAAATTTCGAACCCAATTTATTTCTCCCCCCTCTCTCTTCATCTCCATTTCTCACTCAATGTAATGTTTTTTGTTTTTTTCCTTTCTCTTTTTGCCTCAGAGGCATACATCTACTCAATTTTGTTCAATTTGGTAGCCATCGTCTGACAAACAAGCTGACGATGCCTATCGCTAAAAAGCTTGTTAGAGTCTTGTCCCTTAAAAGAATAATTCATTTCAATTTTATTAGCAGGTTCTCTTTTTTTACAAAGAAATATTTCATATATTGAAAATTAGATTTTAATAAACTTATGCAATTATTGCCATCACAGTAAAAAGAAAAAGAATTGATGATGTCGTTGTGTTTTGTGATTTGATATGAATTATTAGTTAATTCAAAGACCAAATTGTTTGAGGAAAATTGTATTATTATTTTAGTGATTGTATGATTATTTTACTTCAGAAAATAGATAAAACTTTAAGTTCTTTCCCTTTGTCATACATAAAAATTACATTTGTCCCACTTCTTTAATTTCAAAATATGGGAAATACATCAAACATTAGGTATCCTGAATTCTCTAAGTTTTCTCCTCCCAAAATTATATTGTGATAATATAAAATCACATTTAAAATGATCATGTTTAGGTGTTTATATGTGATATCACAATTTCTATTCAATATCAGACGTTTTAAAAAAAATAGCTTTTCAATTTACTGGGGTGTTAATTTTAAAGTACTGGTACACATTTGCATTTTGGGTTGAACTTTACAACTTTAGAATTGTACTATGTGGAAAACTCAACCATCCGATATTAAAAGAAAGAAGTGTAAAATCCTTGTAGCATGAAAAAGCTGTGATATGTATATGATAAATAACGGTAAAGGGAGTTATCATCACCTGGTGTATAGTGTAGCAAAAGTTAAAAAAAAAGAAAAAAAGGACACAAATATATGCTACTGTAACAATGAACTTGTACTGACCACAAGTATGCATTTATTTGATGCTGACCAATTGACCATTGAGTAGATACTTCAAAAGTTGCCCACTCTTCTTGACAAAGAAAGGTCAACTCAGAGACATTCATTTGACCAAAGTGATCCTGGAGGCCACAGAAATGAGGTCAATATTTCCCATTCATGGATTTAAAAGGGTCAAAGAAGTATTTTTCCTCCCCATTTTACTTCTTTTCACGGTCAGTCTGCACTTAATATGTCTATTTGCAAATATAAACTGTGAATACAAATAGAGGAAAATGCATTGAAATTGCTTGTTGGTCTATAAGTTTTCAGTAGAGCTGTTCTATTCAGGTCTGTTCTCCCCAACTTTTTATTACTTTGTGCCATTGAACTTCTTACTTTTAATAGTCGAAAGGAAATCGGGGAAAGGAGATGCATCTGAGATGTACTATCACCTGTACTGTGTATTGTTTGACAATTACTTTTCTGTGAGACATTTGGGAATTTTTTGTCTGGTAGTTGTGCAGTAGTGTATACTTGTGACCAGGTTTGTGAAGCACATGATGTAATATAGATGATATCAAATACTAATTAATACAACATGTATATGAAAATGGGCTTGGAAATAGATGATATCAAATACCAATACACACATGTACCGTATTTGGGCTTGAAATGGTGTAGTTCATCTGGCTAAAATTTTTTTAAAAATTAAGACTGTGTTTCTCCTGATCTTGAAAAGGATGCATATGTGGTTGGCCAGTAGGCCTTCCCATTTGGGGCAAGGGTAGGCGTGTGGGGGGGGGGGGGCAATATGAATAGCAATTTTTATCAACATTTTTTCATGTGGAGAAATGGGGCCTGAATTACTTGTGAAAGCCCTTGAAAAACCAGAACATTCCACAGCAAGGAGAAAATAGGAGGCTTAAGCTCACACAGAAGTGAAAAGCAACCAAACTGATTAGCAACCAAACTGATTATTCACTTTAGTCATTCAAGGGTAGAGTGAGAGTCAGAAAAAAAGTGGAAAGCAATGAAAAGAAGAATATTCACAGGGTACCTCATTTAAAAAAAAAAGAAGAAGAAAGCTGTCTGCTTGATCCATTTTCTGTAATTCAAAGCATCATCTTGACCCGACGGTCAACTCCGATTTTGTTCTTGAGTTGAAGATTGATGAGGTAATCTGGGCCAAAGAGTTTTTCTTTCCAATTCACATGTCCAGTACTTGACCACTCTCGACAATGACCTCCCATGGTCAGTGGCCAGAGAAATGTTTGATTTGGGTCAGTTGGAGTGGGCCGGTCAAGTTTGTGAAGAGCTGGTAGCCTCTAGTCCATTGTTTGAATGTGTTGGGAGTACATGACTTGTTGCACCATGCGGTTGCAAAATATTTCCGGTGCTTTTGTGCAAAGGAGCATCAGTGTCTCTGAGCTCGATTTGAGTTCATGTAATAATACATGTGCGAAAATTGCATGTCAAGACAAAAGCTCTTTAGAAGTTAATTGCATTTTGAATAAGTTTAGAAGTGGATATAGGAGAAATAAAGATATGACGTACATGAACTTATGAAAAAACACCAGACATAATTATTGCACCAGGGATAAAGTTACCAGCCTTTAAAAAGTTGTGTTTATTTCTTAATTTTACAACTTTAAACTCTTACTGCCCTTACCTTGCTAAAATATATTTTATTCAGTGATTCTCTTAGGTATTGGTCAGATGTTGCATTGTGACACCAGCTTTAGACAAAACAAAATTATTATGAAGAGTTTCCTCTTACATGTATGTATCCTTGAAGTTTAGAACCTTAAATTCTTACTTTAAATCAACATTTTTTTATTTTTTAAAAAATAATTAAACAAGCCGTGCATTGCTGAGTTGTATTATTGCTCAGAATTTTATTCTCCATGGATTTCTCACTTCCTAAGATATTCTTTCGTATCCCTTGTCCAGGAACTACAATGTTCGCAAAGCTGTTGCAGCAACGTGTTCTGCAACTGTCCACCCGCCTCCAACTCTGCAACCGTCAGCTCTTGCAGCAACCATGCCCCTCCGTCCAGAGGAGGATGCAAGCCACATGTAGCCACCACATGTGGCAGCAATCACCACATCACCATCAGGGTCTGTTGCAAACCACAATCAGCAGCAACTTGTCATCCTGTAACTTCCACTCTTTGGTCAGCATTAGACGACTGCAACAAGACACCACAGCTACAACATCGGCAACAGGAGCAAGTTCTCCCATTCCTGACCCTTCTTCTGGAGGACACTCGCTTGAGGATGCGGCAATTGCTGAAGAAACAGCGGAGGGCAACGAGACCCTTTTTGAAGATGAACATGGAAGGTATGTATCAAAAGTTTTAATATATATGTTCTCTCTCTTGTAGCTCTTGACTTTGTAACTTTGCTTTGCCCTTGCGCGTCTCCTCCATCAACAGGTGATATGGGAGCTGCAGAAGAATTCGAGGGCAATCGGGCATTTGTAAATTAACAATGAAAGTATGTAGTAGTAGTAGTGGTCGTTATTTTACCTGACTGCTAAGAAAGCTTAATTGCTTGTTAGTAAGCAACCAGAGGACCGACAGCTTTAGGTCCTCTCTGAAGGACATTGTAATGAGGATTAATGCCTTACCAAGGGGCACTAGAGCATCAACTTGGTTTTGAACCCGGGTCACGAGACCACTGCTGTACCAACTGAGCCATCGCACCTTTAAAACCTTTTACCCTTTTCTCTCTTAATTCCACTAGTAGATTTATATCTAGAACCTTAATTTTTCTCCCCCCCCCCCCCCACTCCTTTTATCTCAGATGATGTTGAAACTACTAAAGCAGCTGAAGGGAACAAGGCATTGTTTGAACTTTGAAGATAGAACCCCTCTTTTGAAAGATGTCCAACCATGTCACATGGCCTCAAAACAAGGTGCTCGAAAAATGATGCTTGAAATTTCAATGTTTTAACATCACATCATGTCACTTATATGACATCTGACATCACATCAGCTAAACATTTAATTCAAGATGTGATTTGAGTAAGACTTGAGACAGGTTCCTTGGCCAAGGTTAATGATAAAATGTTGACCTGGTTGTTTACTTACAAGCAATTGCATGCTTTTTTAGCAGTCAGGTAAAACAATCCTCAACTTATTCATCATCATCAATTATAATTTATTGACCTAATCCTAATGCTAAATTGTATACTGGCCCTGATTTTCAGAGGTTTGTACATTTTCAATTTTTTCTTCATGATTCTATTTCCTGTAGCAATCGGTGTTAAATTTGAGCACATGGCAGAACCACTACTTTTCCATCACGGTACATTGAATCTAAAAGCTACCGTACGCTGTACAACGAACCTTGTGGGCGGTCCTTCCTTTCTTAGAATCTTGACATGAATTTATGATTTCCTGTCTATTTATACCCTTTTTCTGCTACTTTTTCCATAATTGAGTGTTCTTGAAGAATAGTAGCGAAATCCACTGGTCTGTTGTGAACACCTAACGCGTGGGTTGGGCGGGGTTTTCTTTTCTATTTCTATGGAATGTTCTCCCGCTTCATTTCATCGTGCAAATTAGCTTTGATATATGTTAAGGCATTTCTCACCGTAACATTAGCACTAGCATCGATGTGTAGTGTACACATGAGAAACAGGCGAGGTATTGTCAAAGACCAAATTTTCGGCAGGAAACCTCACTTTGGCCCCCTGACCCTTCTCTGGTAGGTCTATAGAGGAGGTCGACCCCCGAGGTCACAGTCTTTCAGTTCCCCGATCCTGGGAGTCTGGCAGACCGGGAAAGTTTAGACTTTAGGGGGAGTTTTCTTCAGCTATGTGAATTCAGTTCACAAAAATTTCTTACAGTTTTAAAGGGAATTTTAACATATTTAAGAAGTTGATTTTATATAGAAGCAGAATTGACGGTATTATAATCAATAAAAGTTCAGAAAATCAATGGATTGGAAACTTATGCCATGTTTCATCAAGTTTTGATGTTTATAATTGCAAGTGTAAGAAAATCTTTGTAAATATAATCTAAATTAGCCATGTGAATTCAGTGAATAGTAGAAGTTCTTCCACTTTCAAAGAGGGATTAAACTTCATCAAAACTTTGATTTCGCAGGAGCGGAATCATTTGAGAAATGGATGAGTGAAAATTTGAGAAAAAAAATAATTGAAGAGAAAAGTTATGTCATATTTCATCAAGCTTCGATGTAGGTTATTGCAAGTGTTAGAAAAATCTTTGTAAATAGCGCTTTATGAACCATGTGAATTCATTTCTGTAGAGTTTTTTCCACTTTAAAGGGGAATTCAACTTCATAGAATGTTCATTTTGAGTAGGGGCAGAATGATTAAGAAAAGTGACTTTGAAAGTTGATGAAAAAAGTCAATGAAAAAGGAAACAGAAATCGTAAAGTTTTATGTTATTTGATGTGGATACATTGAATATTGAGAAAAAGCATTTTAAATGAAAAGATACATCAAGTTCTATGAAGCTTTGACGTATTCACATGGACAAGATAATCATTAAAAGAGACAAAATCCTTGTTTCACAATGATTAATTATTATCTACAAAGCAGAGAATGATTTTCTAGATTGGATGCCCGAAATGGAAGCTGTGTTTGTAAAACTTTGGTTTAATAGAAACTTAGAAAGTGTGTTAATGTTGATCCGTTTCATACATGAAAGGAGGAGACAGAAAAGAGATAAGATAGTGGGGTATAGGATTTCAAATGAACGAAGCAGTGATATATGTAGGATTAAAAAATATGAGAAGGGAGAAAAAGAGAGAGGCGAAGAGATACACATGCAGGACACTTAGGGCGCGTTCATGCTTGATTTTGACGGCCAGAATCAGGCATCTGTTACGCGTTTAGTTTAAAACACGATTGCGTTCATGCTCACTTTTGTAGAATCACCGAAAAACGGCGATCACGATCGCCGATCGTAAACTCACAAAAAGATGCGTTTACAATTTGTAAACGCGTTTAAATGGGGTCAACGCACTGACCTCTAGTGGGTCTACGTAGCATGCGCACACAGGTTTGCGAATCCAGCTGAAGGCCACCCAAGGAGAATTGCCTGGAGAAGTGAGCATGAACAGTGCACCGTGGAACTGCGATTACGATGAGCGTTTACGATGAGCGTTACAAATCGCTCATTCTGCCTTCAAAATCAAGCATGAACGCGCCCTTAGAGAGAGGTGGGAGTGGGGGGAACTTGGGGGAAAGAGATAAGACATTAAGACGCTAGAGATTATTGAGATATAGGATGGATGAGATATGGAAGAGAAGATGAGTTAATAGCCACAAATAGCGATGATGCAATATGAGGAGGTGGTTATGTTATCTACCAGTGATTCATTAGGATTTAGAAATAGTTACCGACTTTTGCATTGAAGTTGCTTCAATATGATGTAATATGTGGAGGTGGTTATGTTATCTACCAGTTATTTGTTAGGATTTAGAAATAGTTACCAACTTTTGCATTGAAGTTGAGTCAAGATGGTGTAATATGTGGAGGTGGTTATGTTATCTACCAGTTATTCATTAGGATTTAGAAAAAGTTACCAATTTCAGCATTGAAGTTGCTTCAAGATGATGTAATATGAGGAGGTGGTTACGACATCTACCAGTTATTCATAAGGATTTAGAACTAGTCACCAATTATTGCATTGAAGTTGCTTCGAGAGAAATGCTATTTAAAGTACAAATGCAAGATCAAATTATTTATTTTTTTGTATTATAGAAGAGGTGCCTGTGATGTGTGGGATAATTTCTTTGATAATGAATTGTCAGATTGTTTTACTTTAAGTTTGTTAGATTTCAAAGTATTGGATTACAATATGTGGGCCTGAATATACTGCAGAGGTGAGAGTAACATTTCTTGATAAACAGATGTGAAAACAGTGTTTATTTATATATTCTTTTTTTTAGCATGCTGCTATTTGGAAGAAGCCTTTCAATTAGACTTACATGTCTTGTATGAATGAATGATTTTATCTTTGGTCAGGAACGTTTGAAGTTTGAAGATTGATATTCAGGGGAGGTAAATAATTAATCAAATTGTATTTTGCTTCTAACGAAACCATCATGAACCAGCATGGCTCACTGGACAAATCTGCTTTAGAAACTAGTTGCTCTTATCTTTTAATCTCTGAATTTTTTATTTTTACAGATTGAACAAATAAAAGACAGAATAAATATTGCTGTTGCTGAAATTAAGTCACTGTGTGGGTGTTTCTCAAAGCGCAAAATGGCTTCCATTCTAAGCATAAGGAATATCAATCACTGAAAATATATTTTGTACAACTAGAATGTATGAAATCGACCTACAAAAACTTAAACTTGGCATTATATGGGTTAATGGTTAAGGAATATGAGGAAAATAGAGGATAAGATGAAACATGCAAACTAGGTTTTGCGATTCACAAATGTTTCTTGCCATGAAAATCAATGTCCTTTATTCAATGCAAGTTTGAGTTTCACACTACCATCAAACAAATATTTCAGGTGCAAATAACTTATTAGGATTATGATGAAGTAAAGAATTAACGATGTTAACATAGTATCACATTTTTCTTGGGGGGGGGGGGGGGGAGGGGAGCGACGATTGGCCCCATTAAAAATCCCAATTGAAAAATACCTGCCCCAAAAATGAAATATTACACTCCACTTAACATCTTCCTGTTGTTGAAACAAATCCTAAAGAAACATTAATTCTTCTTTTTTTTAAAATGAAGTTGTGCTGTGAAAACTTGGAAATTGCGAATAAAATTGAAGAATATATTGAGGCCAGCTCCATAGACTACAGGAATGCCTAATCTGCTCTCGTGGTATGTGGGGTCACGGGGGTCACGTTTTGAATTGAGTCCTGGCCCCTTTTGGGGAAAAGTTAGGAATGGCTTGCTTGAAGATCAACAATTGCATTAAATCATATCTAAATATGGCATGCTGCGACCATTTTCATAGACCTACTTGTAGTAAAAGAAGAAATTCAATGAACTACCACTATACTACTCTTACCCTTTACCAAGTTTTGTAATTCTTAAAGTTTGTGAAAAAATGATTTGTTCTGATTTATGTTTATTGAATTAGTGACATATTAGAGCTTACATCTAAATTAATTCAACAAAGTTCTGATTCAAACCTTCCTTCATTTTATTATCAAGTTACAAAAACCACAAAAAGCATTAAATTTACAAGGGGTGTGAATAATTTAGTTGTTAATAGTATATTATCATTAATTGTAGTAGAAGTACAAATAGGACACAGGGATTGTGTAAAAATGAACGGTAACCATAAAATGGGCCCCTATCAAAAAAGTATTGGATATTTTTGTTGCTCAATGATAAATGCTATTAATTCTTTAGCGTAACTTTTTCTCTGATCCAATATCTTTTCTATGATACAGCAATGTATCCTACCATTATCATTTCCATTTATCCTGATATATGGGTGATCAAACATTCACTCCAGGGGGTTGTTTCACAAAGATCCTAAGTCGAACTTTACTCTAAGTTGGGCTTGAACATTATGGAGAGCCATTTGTAGCCTTAAAATAAAACATATTCAAAAGCAAAACTATCAAGTATTTATTGTTAGACTTTTCATAAATTCCACATCAAGAACAGGAAATCTCCTTGATATTAAATAGAAAATATGAATAATTTGAATCAACATTTTATGCTTTTTGAAATAACTTTTAAAATATTTTCGAAGATGCTGACGGCTTTCCATAACTGTTAAGTCCAACTTATAGATAAGTTCTACTTAGGATTTTTGTGAAACACCCCCTGGTTTAGGGTTCACTGTTAGTGTTAACCCATTCATTACTGGAGCCGGGTTGTTTCTGTATTAAACTATTAAACCTATGAGGAATGTGATTATTTAGTAGTCAACAGGTCAATAGCATTTCTGTTGGGCTTTTAGATTAGCTTTGGGGTAAGTTCACAAAATTAATTGTGATTATTGACCATGGAGGTATGGTTGGTTGAGCATTATTATGCTGTACAACCTTTGAGTGAAGCCATTACCTCCCCCCCCCCCCCCCCCCCCCCTTCAGGTTTTAGTACTGGTTATGCACTTGCAAATTATGAAAGAAAGTGTCTGGAAACACTTTGAAAAGGATAATTTTATGAAAATATGTAGTACATAAAAATTGATTTATAATGTACAATATTTGAATGATCAAAATGAAAAGCAATTGACTCTATCACTGCACATGGAAATGGGTATATGGGAATACACATGGATGTTTAGTCCAAATTTTATAGCCATTTCTTCTCATAATTTGAATGTTACAGGTGTAGGGCATTTTAAAATCAATCCATTCCAGGAGACATTTCTACTTCGGCTAGCCATCCAAATTGACTACGAAGAATTAGAAAGCTCACAATTTGTTTTCCATCTTCACCAACCAGGCAGAACTCGCGCTTCTCTTTAAAGCTGGCCGTCTTGCCCTTGGACTGTCAGGTAACCGGCAGAGCCAAAGGGCACCTTTAATTGCAGCAGGAAGGGCTCTTGTTGACTCTTCTAAAGGTCAGAATGGCCGGAAAGTAAACAAACTTGAAGTTGAGCAATTTTCATATTGTTTGATCTAGCTGCCACTCTGATGCAGTACAAGCATCATGCTTGTGTGTCGTGTACATGTGCAGTATGTAGGGCAGGTATCTACTCTAGCAAATGCAGTGGGTGATGGAATTCATTTTGCAAACTTTTGGGGAGTTATTCCTTTGTATAAAGTTTTAAGTGTACTTTTGTACAGGACACATATAAAATATCATGTTCAACAATGATGTAAATTTGGTCAATGTTGTTACATGTATGCCTATAAGGTAATAGAGGTACATTATTAATGTGTCATTGTCTTCTTTTCTTCCTTCTCCTCTTCTGCCTTCTTCTTTTAAAAGTAAAACAAGATCAGCAAATTTGGTTTGATTTGGCTACAGATGAAAGTGAGGAAATTGAATAGATAATGATGAGTATATTTGAATGATGATGATGATGAGGAGGAGGATAGTGAAAATGATGATGATGATGATGTTGCTGATGCTGCTGCTGATGATGATCATGATTAAAATGTTGTTGATAATGATGATGATGATGTGGTGAGAAAATATGACAATAATTAGGAAGAGGAAGAGGAGGAGGAGGAAGAGGAAGATAATTGATGATGAAGACGATGATGATGATAATGATGAGGTGTCGTGTCGTGGACGAGTGGATATGTCACCGGACTGTGGATCACAAGGTTCGCGGTTCAAGTCCCACCGCGGCACTAATGTCCTTTGGCAAGACATTGATCTACATTTGCCACTCTCCACCCAGGTGTTAAATGGGTACCCGGTAGGATGCGAAAGCTAATGTGGTTAGATTAGCAAGTGTGCGCTTGTAAAAAGACGCCTGGCTGGAATGCTCCCCAGGGAGTGGAGAATGTGCATACATTGTGTGCGGGTAAGCCTGAATCCTATGACCGGGGTAATAATATATACATCTGTAAAGCGCTTTGAGAGGGCCTCCGGTCCTGAAAAGCGCTATATAAGAACTAGCTATTATTATTATTATTATAATTATGATGATGAGGATGATGATAATGCTGATTCAACTAGCGAATGAAATATAAATGGCATTTTCAAGTCATAGAGAAATTATGATACCAAAACAATTGGTTTTGCTTCTTCATCAGCCTTTAGAAGTTCAGATCCATCCACATACCAGTTATTGATTACTTTTTTGAAGACTTGACTGCAACCATCAATGATAAAATTGCTAAAGCTACATAGGTACTTTGAAGGGCTGCTACTATTCCAACCAGAACAAATGTTGTGAATTCATTAATCTTTCAATGAAGACTTTAAAAACTCTGTAAAGGATTACATTTTAGTGTGCTGTTTCTTTTTAATATTAAAGTGTTCTGTTCTAAACCATGTGATATCCATACAAATAAGTTATTAGAGATACAACTTTTACAAGGATGTTTAATTTTCTGATTTTGCAATATTGATATGGAGTAAATGGATAATAATCTATATCAAGTTTCTAATCTCTCCGTATTATCCTAATAAATATACACTCTGCATTGAAGAAAGGCTCACTCACCAAAGAATATATTGGGAAGTTAAAAAAACAAAATAACAATAACTTGAAGTGACTGTACTATTATCTATAAATATATAATATAAATTGTATTGTTAACCTTCATTTTTGTTTTATCTGTGATCTTTGTCAAGTACATCAATGACATGACAAAACGAACCATTGAGATGATAAAAACCTATCATAGTACTACCCCCATCGTGAATATAGAACTATATTAAAAATGAAATTAAATAGAAATTATGTCATGTCAATTTGTGGGTTGTGAAGTACTCACGAGTGTTTAGGTGCAACGTTCACTTGGCTTGAACTCAAGAATCTATGGAAATTTTTATCATTCCTCGTCTATTTACCCAGTGTCAAACGAGTACTAAGGTTTGCCAATGTTTCATAACATATTAAGATAAAGGTGTGTGCGCTACACAAATATATTCAGGCTCTTGTGCGGTAGTAAGGCATAGTTAAACCTAAAAGGAGTGATTTTATCTCAGTCACAAGATATCGCAGAGGAAATGGGTGTTTACTCTTCCTTTTTATACTTAAAATATGCTACACAAATATATAGGGGTGCTTTCGTTTTACCAAAGTGAAAGAAAACGAAATTTGTTTAATACAAAAGAGAAATAATTTGAAGGGTAGGAGGAAAATGTGATACACGGATAGGAAGAATGAGATTAGGTTCTGAACAAAAGAAAATCAGCTTTGCATATGGATGGAAATATTGTTTTTGTTGTTCTTGCAAGGAAGAAAAAGTTCTCAAAGGCATTGTTTATAAACAATGTTTGCAGTTTTACAAATCTGAGATGCATGGCCCTATGTGATCAGTGTCTGTGATGTGGTGTAATATTGAAGCCCTAAAAAAATTGTGCTGCAAAATTATCATGAAGTGCTTCAAAAAAGTAAAAAGTCTTTGAGTGACCGGTTTTACCATACTCATGTAGTGTTATAAAACGGTTGGGAGAACAGATTTTGAAATTTCAAATTCCAATCATAAATATCTTGATAATCAATAATGTGATTGGCTTGTACAAGTCATGGGATTCATTTCTGACCTAAAGGTTTATAATTATGATTGCAGAATGAGCTAAATCTAGGATTTTTGTTAGAATCAGAGGCAAAATTACATAATACCTTTAAACCTACTTTGAGAATAAAATAATTCCCACCTTGGGTGTGACACCAATCTCAAATAGAAAGGAAAACAACCATAAGGAGCATCTCATCTGGATGCACCATTGGGACCATTATAGTTCCCGTACACAGGCTATTAATTTTGTTTGTCATGCTAACGACCCTTTCTTTTTTTATTATGTCCGTAGAGGTCTGGGAATATCATGAAAAGCCTTATTAAAATCCTAAATTAAGCTACAGATCTCAGAAATCATTTAGTTAAATAGATAAAACGTTTACTTAGATGTGTTTTCTTCCCTTCTGTTTTTAGGCTCCGTGTATAATTTGATCGGAAGTCCTAAGAGATTTAAAATACTGTTGTTTACTCTTAAAATCATCTCATTTTAGGTGAAGCGTTTTGTCTAGGGTTGATGTTAGGAATTCTTAAATTCTACAGATATATTTTATAAGCACTCTTGGAGAAAGATAAAATCTTAAAAGATTGTTAGAATGAAGGATTAAAGTAGATGTTGAACATGTTGAAATACAGTTGTTGTTTTTTCTTCTCCTAATTTGAGTAATTTCACACACAATTTCCAGTTTCCATATTATCTTCTGCGATATCTGCATAGAAGGTTGAATACAAATGAAAAAAATAGCTGACAATATTCAAATAATTTAACTTTGCATTCGTGAGTTACATTGTGTAATTGCATTGAAAGTAGAATTGCTGAAATGCTCTAGTTCAGTTTATTTTTGATGACAGGCACGAATTCCTGCTCTTTGAAAGAATTGTATTGTCAAATATTTTGCTAGGAACAGACAAGTTAGAGATTTGGATCAGTGCACTTGAAACTCTTCAGCTTTGTATTTTATTTCTTTTTGAATTGTTGCCTCCATTCATAAGTCGTCACACGTCTCTAATCAAAAAGGACCGACCCATTCTGCAGTGTAGGTCTCGGTTAGGTGCTTGGCAAATACAAGCTCTGGTCCCTCTGCCTGGCCAGGAGGGTTGACCACCCCCCTGCGATGAGTGGAAGAGTTCCAGTGTCATTTTGGAGGGAGGGAAAAAAGCTCTGTCAAAATGCAAGTTTGTTATTCGTAGTAGTTGTGCTAACCAACCCAGCAGAATGAACATTGCGCAGTCCTTGTTTGCCCGTGTGCTCAGTGGTGAAGAAAGAAATTGAACCGAGTTTCCTGGCCGTCCTCCTCGTATTTTAACCAAAAAAGCGGTGAAGATCATGATGAAATTGATTTTCTCAATGATTTTATTTGAAAAGGATGTCATCTTGTTTCATGAACCGTTACTATTTCGTCCCCGAACCGGACTTTGAGTCCCCTTGAAACTGCAATGTTTTGGAAAGCGTTTCGGGGAGTGACGTTGGCGGGCTGGATGCTTGTTGTTTGCGACCGGGGGAATGACGAGCGAGAGGACGAAGGAGGTAAGGGAGGATTTGTGAATGTTTGTGTCGTCATGTTCTCTGTAGTTTTGTCCATTTTTGGAAGAGAAATACTGGATGTAGTTCAGCCGAGCTTTGCCTTTTTGGGAGGCTGTTGTAGGTGCTGTTCTTTTGAGGAGTTGCCTCGCATCAGAGTTCTTTGGAATTGATGATTTTGTTCTTGTGTGTCTTTGAGTCCAGGAACATTATGCTTCATGTTTTTCATTGCATTCGGTGATTGATTGGTTTGGAAATCAGCCAGCATTTTTGAGGCAAGAATTCAACCTTTAATTGTTTGATTAGAATAGGAAAAATAAAATATTTAGCTCTGTCCTCTTCTTACCTTTTTTTTCTGTTTTTCAAACTTTTTGGTGTATATTTAGAACTTGTTTTCTTTTTCCATATGATTTGAATAACTTATAGGAACATATGAAATGTAATGATATCCACAACAAAAATTATTCATAACATTTTCAAATTAAGAACATTCCTTTTGTTGCATGCAAATTAAAGAAATGCAGAAAGAAATACAAACATGTAGAAGAGTATTTATCTTGATCTTGGAGCTCCCCTGTATGAACCCCTCCAACCAAAAATGAAGAGAGAATACACTGTTTGAAATTGAATCTTGTTGAATAACATGAATTTCTTGTGTAGACTTGGAGAATACTTTAAATATTTAAAATATTACCTCTTTTTCTAAAAGAGTCTCTAATAGTTTGCATGATGCAGAGTATTCTGGGTATTTTCTTGTTTTAAAAAAAAGTATACTATGGAAAATCAAACTCTCAGATTTTGTGTTTTGTGACGATATGTTGGTATGTATAATGTACTGTCCAAGTTAATATAGTTTGATTTGAAGTTTGTGAAACAGAGCTTGTTTTCTTGTACTTCAATTCTTCTTCTTTTTTTTTTGCTGAGAGAAACTGCTAGAAAGACAGCAGAGTTCTCACAAGAGAGGCAGAAAGAGAGATATATATGGAGAGAGATAAAAGGAGATAGAGAGAGAGAGAGAGAGAGAGAGCAAGAGAGAAGAGAGAGAGAGAGAGAGAGAGAGAGAGAGAAGAGAGGAAATGAGAGAGAGAGAGAGATAGATAGAAGGGGAGAGAGAGAATGAAAAAAGGGATCATTAATTTGGAGAGGTTTTTTTTTTAAATACGGAAATGTGTATAAATAAGAGAGTGGATTGAAATAGTTCAGTAGAGAGAAACAAATATAGAAAGAGGAAAAAAAAGGAGAGGGGGAGAGAAAGGGAGAGAGAGAGAGAGAAAGAGAGGGGGAGAACCGGAGAAGGTAAATGGAGGCAGAATGGCTTACGTGCCAGCTTCCGATTCGTGCAACCACAAAGACCAGGCCGCCCAAAACGGGGACCTCGTGTGTTTTGCCTACATGGTGGTGGTGGTGGTGGTGTTGGCAATGCTCGGGACCCTCATTGTTCCCTCCTGGATAGCTAGCTAGCGTACCCTGGCATTGCAGGCCAGCCAGCGCAGAACAAAGAAAGGATGATAGCTGCTTGTGACGGCACCCCCGCTGAGTGATGAGCCCCTTGTGTCCTTGCTCCTATTTTCCATGCCCCCTTTAGCTCCTATATTTCACCATACGATTTCAAATATATTACCCATCTGAACATCTGTACCTACCCTTTTAGACAATACACCAGAAATAACAAATTGTTTTTAATCCATTCTTTTCTTGTCCTTCTCTTTTCATATTTCTCTACTGTGTAAGCACAGCTGCAAAAAAAGTGACTGTTCAATGTCAGTTCATTAGGGGAGGGCAATTCCATTTTCTGATCATATGCAGGTTTCTTGATCTATGACCATATATATATATATATATATATATATGTACCAAGGCTTTACCAGCTGAATTGTATTTAAAATGGGAGTTTCAATTGTGTTTGCTTTATTATGTGTGAAAATAAAGTTATTTGATGCTTTTTAGCCTTCTGTTATTCTCTCCCTGTCTCTCTTTCTTTCTTTCTCTCTTTCTTTTTTAATTCTTTTCTGTTTTGTGTGTGTTTGGTAATTGTGTTTGATTTGATGTAGTTGGGTATTTTTCTGGATATTTATCTAAATACAGCTGAATTTATCTGATCATATCTTGATATATCTGGATAAATTAAAGTAAACTTTTCTGATGGTCTTGTTGGTGATCTTATAGCTCTACTCCATAGCAGAGATGAAAATAAAAGTTTCTGGTGCATCTAAACAAAATACATGGATTTAACAGATTTTCTTCATAATTATTTAACAAAGCAAACTTTGTAATGGAAGCAGATTTAATAGGGCTAATATGCTAAAGGCTTTTGGAGGCCTGCTAAAATGTGATTACCGGTAGTATGTTTGACGAAATAGAATTGGATTTTATTTTTTAAATGACAGTTGATTATGAAAGGAGAATTTGTCTTCCTAATTTATGATCCTAATTTGTTTGCTGTATCCCTTTGTTTAATAGAAGTTTAGTGAAAAGAAACAGGCCAACATGTATAATTGCCCACTTGTTTTCTGTTTGTTTTTTGCATTATCTCACTAATTGTTTATGTGCACCTTCAAGTGGATCTTACAAATTAACTTTCTCAAAAATATAAAACTAAACGTGGAATGACATTCATACCATTATAGAAGTTAGAAAAGTATGTATTGCATTATGATAAAATGATGTTTAGATTCTAAAATGTTTGAGATCTTGGTTCTGCTCTGAATTATTATCAACTTTCCTGACAAACTACAAAATTCTGGGGGTGAGTTATATTACCCTTGAGTTCTTCAGGCTGATATGGGTTTTAAATTGTGGGGGGGGGGGGGGTCAACTTGCAAGGGCTTGCAAAATAGCTGTAAATTTGCTTATTTGGTTCACTTTTTTTCCCTCATGGAATTATTTAGGAATTTTTTCCTCTGAAGTCTATTTTATTTTATTTTTGTATTGTTTTTGTAAGGTGCCCATTAGTATGCACTACCTAAGGCAATTTTTTTCTCAGCCGAAAAAATAATGAATGTAATTACAATCTGGCAGGTTTTTTTTAATTTGGAAAGGAAAATAATCATTTTATTTATCTTGATTTAAAATCAAGAGATTTTTTCACCCCCGTCATTTAACCATGTTGGAATAATTGGAATATTTATTTAGAATAGAATCTACCCACCTACCGGTTATCATAATTGATTAGATTTTATCGCCCAGAAAGTCAGCAAATTTGCCCTGGGTGCCTGCTATCGGCCAAGAAATTAACATTTCGGTAAACACCCTAAATTCAATTTTGACAATCAATTTGTTGAGGAGAAGAGTTGGTGCAATGAAGAATCTGTCCAACGCACGTAAATACGGCTGTTAGAAATTCTAATCAAGCCAGCCCAAGGGCGATGGTTAGAACGATGGAAGGAACGAAAGTGTAAATTTGTCTTCTCATTTTGACTCGTCTTTTACTCACTCTCCTTGACGATACCTTGATGTTGATGACTTCGTCTCTTTCGTCGTTCATTACTTTTTTCTCTCTGTTTTTGATTAAGCGGGGAGTGGGAGTTAATTAGATTTGATATGTGAAGTGTGACCGCTTCTTGAGTATCTTAATATGTTGGCGGTTGTTGAGTCTTCGTTGGGTAACTTTCTTGTATCTTGGTGTGTATTACCTATCTGTGAGGCAGTTGGTTCTAGTAATCAGTCGTCATTAGCATCTCTGATGCATGTTTTTTCTGGGATGGAGGTTGTCTGATATTTGTATGTTTCTTCACCTAAGTTTACGCAATCATTTACTGACTAATTCAATTCTCTGTTATCATAAATTGCCATAGGATGTAAATTTACAGATCAGTTTCTAAAGATATTTTAAAAACATATTGAATTTGAAAGTAAGAATTCATAATCATCAAAGTTGGCAATGAAATTTGAAGGTTATATTGACAAAGCGAAAGAAAAAAGCTTATTAAAAAAAAGAGAGAGAGGCTGGGGGAAAATGAAAAAGATTGCAACAGTATTGCAACAAGGATTTTCAATCATTACAGAGCTGGTATAAATCCTTGAAAATTGAATGATGAAATGTGTCAGTTTTAATTAAAGCAATAAGCATTTACTATTTCATGCATTATTGAAAGGAAGATCTAAAATTAGATGATTTCTGCCACTCTATTGTATTTTCGGAATATTTATTATTTTTCATTATTTTTTCTTTAAAAATCAGGTATCCATATTCATTTTTTTTTCTTCCTGAAAATGCTCACAAAATCATTGTTCGGATCTATCTGTACAGCCTGCATGGTCTTATTAATAGTACCAGCACAATAATTTAAACAGAAAATGTAACGTTTATTATTAGCATGACAATTGAAATTGCGTCCCGAGTAATCGTCCATTGCACACTGCGCACATAGCAGCCTATCCCCTCTTCTGAGGTTGATATTGATTTCCCGCGGATTCTGAAATGTCAATAATACCTCAAAAGTGCTATTTGTGACGTCAGCAGAAAAAGAGGGAAAAAATAGTCCTCAAAAAGTTCATTGCACTCAATTGTGTACCAGCTTATTTGAATAGCAAGGGGAACTTACAGAAGAAGAAAAAAAAAATTGGATAAAAAGAGGAGAATAGGTGGAATGTGTGGAAGATACATGGTGTAATGCCGTTTCCCTCGTTGGTTACTGTTTTTGAATGAATAGCATGAAATTGATGACGAGTGACTGCAAATTGAATGGAATATTATATTAATAACATGCTCCGATGCATCGGGTTATGGTAATCTATGATTTATCTAACAGCTTTTCCTGGGATAAATTTAGCTTTATTCTATAGGTAGTATAATACTGCAGTTAATTTATATGCAGGTCCCATTGTTGCTGTAGCGTTTGTCATTTAATGGATAGTGCAATACATCAAAATTTATTTGTTTGAGAGGTAGCAGGAAAGATATTTTCCTTGAAATTAGAGCTCCACATTACATTCTTAAAATGGGGTTCTTGATTTGAATGTTAGGGTCTGTATGAATGGCCCCCTGTTGAAATTGCAAAATTCTT